TATATGCCGTTGCTCCGCCATGATGTTTTGAATCTTGCCCTCTGATGAGGGCGGTAACATGCCGTGCAACGTCTACAATGAAGAAGAGGACGAAGAAGGGGTGGGCGATATATATCGTTAACGATAATATCGTCATTGTTGTTTTAACGATGTGCAAATTTACGTTATCGAGTATGCAAATGACTTAACAAAAACAACTGAAAACACACGTTGAAAGGTTGAAACCCCACACATTCACCGAACAAGAGCTACGTAACTTGCGTGCAGCAGCACGCCGCAGTACGCCGAGGTGGTCACATGATCTCTCACTGGCACCTTGGTCAGCCTGCTGCCAAACAAACATTAGCGATACAACATGGCAACACCGCCCCACGGATGCTCCAGCAGCTTCGAAAGACGTGGGTCAACTGTAGTGACAGGTCCCAGCCTGTCAGGCTAAAGTTCGCAGTACCGGAAGACCGTCTACGGAGCTACCTAGCCTAGCCACAATTAGCTGAACGAAGCAACAACATGGCACAGTTTCAAGTCTCCCCGCCGGAAAAGTTCACCTTCAAGGCTTAAGACTGGCCTAAATGGATTAAACGCTTCGACAGATTCCGCATTGCTTCTGGATTGGAGACGCAAGCAGAAGAGAATCGCAGGAATGTGATCTTTGAGAGAGCAAAGTTTAATCAGCGGCTTCAAGAAACGGGCGAGACGGCCGACAGTTTCATTACGGCGTTGCGCTGCCGGGCAGAGCACTGCGGTTACGGGGTTCTACATGATAAGATGGTGAGGGACAGGCTTGTGGTGAGTCTGCGTGACAAACGCCTATCTGAACAGTTGCAAATGGACCCGGAATTGACGCTACAAAAGGCCGTCACCAGAGTCAAACAGAGAGAGCAGGTAAAAAAGCAGCAAGAAATGTTAAGAACATTTTTCCATTAATATCATCCATGAGAAATAATTAATGAGCTATAACGCAGGTTGTTTAAAACACATGTTTAAAAGAATATTGTCTAATTATCGTTATCTTCAAAATCCCCAAAATATCGAGATATTATTTTTTGTCCATATCGCACACCCCTACGAAGAAGAAGGCCGTGGTGCATTTTGGGTAAGTAGTAGCCCTGCAGTATGCTTTGCCATCATACTACAATGTAGGCGTGTTTAGTAGGGGTGGTAGCATACTGCTCCTCCCGACTACGGTTTCGGACATACCACATATTAATTTGGTCTACTACAATCCATACTACTTGACCTTTCAGACGCAGCCCCGGACAGTCCTCTCCCCAGCCACTTCCGTCCGCGGGAACCCCGAGGTGTTCCTAGGCCAGCCGGGTGATGTAGTCCCTCCAGCGTGTCCTGGGGCGGCCCCGAGGTCTCCTCCCGGTTGGACATGCCCGAAACACCTCCCAAGGGAGGCGTCCGGAAGGCATCCTTATCAGATGCCCGAACCACCTCAACTGGCTCCTCTCGATGTGGAGGAGCAGCGGCTCTACTCCGAGTCCCTCCCGGCTCTACTCCGAGTCCCTCCCGGATGTCCGAGCTCCTCGCCCTATCCCTAAGGCTGAGCCCAGCCACCCTGCGGAGGAAACTCATTTCGGCTGCTTGTACTCGCAATCTCATTCTTTCGGTCACTACCCAAAACTCGTGACCATTATTATTTTTAATTCAAATTACATAATTCATCTGATTTCCTAAAGCCAACCTAACCTGATATCATTCATACTCTAAAGACACACACAAGCAGTGCCAACATATGCTACCTTGACCTAACATGCCAGAGGCTGTTCACCTTGGAGACCTGCTGTGGATATAAGTTAAAATTATTGCACATAAAATAAATAACTTAATAAAGTTATTGCACACGATGCAAGTATAAATATTAAATATTACCGGCTGTGTGATTTCAGTGCAGCGTTCAGTGTAGTAATGGCTTTGGGGTAAAAACTGTTCAACAGTCTGCTGATGCGTGTTTTGATTGTCCGATAACGTCTGCCTAAGGTCAGAAGGTCAAACAGATGGTGGGCAGGGTGAGATGAGTCCTTCAGGATGTTTATTTTCTGGAGGCAGCGGGAGGTGAAAAATGAAATAGATACTTTATGCTTAGGCAGCATTACCGCTCAGCTACTGAGTCTTCAAATACACCTGGAAATATGTGGAGTGTGTTAATCTCTTTAGAGCCCAGATTTATGATCACTTGTACGTTTGTCTTCCTCGTCTTCATTTCTTTCTTAGACGCATGTTAGGATGGAGGCTAAATCCTAAAAACCCTTTTCTCTCAAAGGAGGAAAGAAGCTAACACAGAAAGGAAAAGGTAATCTGCAGTCAACATTAACCAACTATGTACTCCATCACTTTAGACCAGGTTTGTCATCGTCATTTTTCACTCTTGTCCAGATTCCATAGGGACCAAACTTGGTGGAAAACCAGGCGGTAAGCCAGGTGGTAAGAAGCCCTTCAAACCGTACAACAACACAGAGAGGAAAGGCAGGCCGGGGAAAGGTGGAGATGGCGGCAAGGGAGAACACAAATTTGCTTTCTCCAAAGCTGGGAAAGGGCCACAGAAGAGGAAAATGCCGTTTAAAGGGAAAAATAAAGAAGAGGGTGGAGGTGAGATAAAATCTGCTTGCTGCAAAAGTCTCTTACTTCTCATTGCTTGTGAGCGTTCTGACCAGTTAGTGTTTTCACTCAGGTTCTTTTGTTAGCCCTCATCAAGTGCTGCATGTTACATGTCAATAAAATATTAGTAACATGTAACAAGTACAGTCAACATGCAGTACAAATGCACCACAAATACAGCTTGAAATATACTTTACATTTAAACAAAGGGGATATAAACATCATTAACATGTGCTTGTGTTTGGTTGCCTGTCTTGTCAAAGTGTCAAGACAAGTCATTTCTGTGTGTGTGTGTGTGTGTGTGTGTGTGTGTGTGTCAGGTCCGGAGGCCAAGAGGGTGAAGAAAGGTGAGTTTAAGCCGAAGACGAAGGAGCTGACGGAGGAGGAGCTGAAGAAGAACAGGCAGCAGAGGAAGAAGGATCTGAAGAAGAGCATACAGCAGGCGGAGAGTAAGGACATGTTCCAGATCATCTGTCAGTGCAAACAAGTGTGGGGGGACCTCAGGAGGTACACACGCACGCATGCACGCACGCACACACACACACCCACAGGCAGAAATTGAGAGTTGAGCCCCTTAACTCTGACCTTCTATTTTCACGTCTTCAGGTTGAACTGAAACGCTCCACTACAGATCACATACAGTATGTACAGTACAGCTAGCCCCCCATACATGCAAACTCATTAAAGGAATAACTTATAATGATAAACAGTGTCACAGAATATCTTGTTCTGAAGATGACGAGCATCTGAAAAATGCCAAGAGTCAGTTTATGCTCAGTCAGAAGTCGTTTGCATTGCATGTTGTTTCACCTTTTCTGAAATAAAGAATATATTTCTAGTTGTTCGAGTTTTTCTAGTTTTAGGTCACTAAAACAAAGACATGCCCTCTAAGGTGCAGATTTTTCAAAACTCAGGTTACTTTGAATTTGTGTGGACAAGGAAAAGGGAACATCTGGGGAACAATGACGCCATGTGCTATAAATAACAACAGTAATGCCGGGCTACTGGTTTCCCATAGTCGACCCATAGACTTTTTGACAAGAGAAACAGCGCGACACTAACTTCTGCATCGGCCTAAAGAAAAATGTCATCCCTGGAGCACTCTATAAATTCCCATGCTTGCTGCTTAGAGTAATCACAGTCCATGGCACAGTCTCTCCCCCTCTCAGGACACACGAGACGAGACACAGCTCGCTACAATATGGGAGTTTGGTTGTAGTGAGTCTCTGTTGTTACGATGATGTTTTTTGGATTGGACGCGAAAGAAAGCTCTCATTACGTTTAAAATGTTTTGTTGAGGATTTTATTATTGAATCAAATTTAGAAAAGTTGAATCCCAAATGACAAATACACTCATACTATTAAAAAACAACAACTAAAACTAATACAGAAACTAATAAAAACTAGACTTAAACGTTATATTTTTAAGCAATAAAAACTAAACTTTAACCAAAACCCACTCTGAAAACTAACTGGTACATAACTGAATAAAATCAAAAATTTAAAATGAAATAAAATAAAATAAAAAACTACTGAAAAATACAAAACTCCTGGAACAAACACACTTCTTTACTTCAATGAAAATAAATCAACTTTGTTCATATATCCAGTCAATAAATTCTTCTACAGGACTCAATCTTGTGTATCTTTTCATCTACATATTTACTTTACACACAGCAAATAGCAAAGTATGGCAAAAAAGAAAGAAAGAAAGAAATAATCTCCCTAGTGATGAATTAGAAAAATGATCAAAACTTAACTCTACTCTTCTGAATACTCTGACAATGTGAGAATAAACATGTAATCAACTAGTCAGCTGTGATTAAAAGAAGAAGACTTGCAGTGCTGCTCAGTGAAGCCCTAACAAACAAACAGGGCAGAAAATATGACAGCAACAATGCAAATATGGAAATTTAGCACAACTATATACACCAAACAAAAGGTCACATTTTCCTGTGGATGAATGTCCATTTTGAGCTGAGTCAACCTTTATCTAATTTGCAAAGCCCACTCTGTTTGCCGATCTAAACAACTGTTGTTTGGAGGGAAAACTCCCGCATCAACTCTTGCCTGCTTGACTTCCCAAAATTCAGCTGTAGATCCAAAATAGCAAACACCGAGTCCAGCGTAGAGAGGCTCAGTGAATGTGGTCTGGACTTTGTGGATTGGAGTGATAGTTTCAGAGACGCTGTAGAAGGACAGAATACCTGCCTTGTAATCTAGAAACACTCCTACTCTGGAGGACAGAGGTTTTGTGATGGTAGTTTTGTTACTGTTATGTTTGAAATCGTAAGTCGTATGCATACTTTTCTTCACACAGTCTAATGTCCAAGACTTGTCATTTTCTCCAAACCTACTTTCATCTCCTGTTCTGGCAATGGCCTTGTATGCGACTGCTACTGAAACTCCTAAACCACTCCACT